TTAACAACTCTGAGCTATTAGTTAAGTTCTCCCCAAATGAGCTTGATGGGCCGAATGGCCTCCTCTCGTTTGTAAATTTCTTATGTTCTTATTATCTGATCACCCTATTCATGCATATATACCCCTTGAGTCAGTTAGTACTGTCAATACATGTGGCAGTCATGTGGCAGTGGTGGCTTAATGGTTAGGGACGCGCACTCGTAATCAGAAGATTGCAGGCTCAAATCCCTGACCAGGAAGACACCACTGAGGTATCCTGAGCAAAGTACCGCCCCCAAGCACTGCTCCCCGGGTGCTGAATTAGCTGCCCCCTGCTATGTCACGAAAGTCACATATGGGTTAAACACATTTCATTGTGGTGTGTCAACAATGACAAATAATCACAAATAATAAAATATGAATATGGTACTTCAAAAATATAAGTTAAATAAAGTATTCCTGTTATATTATTTCATTCAGTTTTTCTCAATTTACAGAAATGTTCTGTTGTGGTGAAAAAACACAAGTCTCAGGGATAGCAGACTCTTTATTGGTTATATGATGTACCAACGACAACCAAGGCACTGCATCTACGTACAGCAAGTGTAACACCCTCAGGCACTTGTTCCCCTTTTATATGTTCTCACTTGTTGTTCACCATGTTTCTTTTTTAGGGCAGTTTTACTCTTTAGCTTACAGTAACCAACTGAAACTGGTTCTGTGGTCTCAGAGAGTCTCCTCTATCAACACCAATTCTAAGTCTTCTTTTTTTTTGTTTTCTGTCCAGAAATCTGTTCACCTAAAATATGACATGAAATAAACCTGAATGGTAAATTATTATTTTTAAACACATTTTACTGGAGCATTTTGACTTAAAGAATTTTTAGTGGAATTTCAAAAATTGTTTTTCTTTTCCCAAAAGACGCTCACGTGCTCTCAAAACCCAAGTCAGAATAATTGATTTTAAAAGATGTAATTTAATATTTCATGTAATTAGGAAAACTTAATGAATCATGAATTAATAATAACAAATACACCTACAATTTAGGTGTAGAACTGAAATTATGGAAGCCACTTCGGGTGAGCCCCTGGAGGAGGCAGCTCTTGGAAGACCCTTCCAGCTGGGGATGCTGTATGATGGCCGTAATCATAAGCTCATTCCTGGTAAGTCGCTAAATCAAACAGCTGTTTCTGGTTCTATATCATTGTATAAAGAAAGGCTAGTTCAGTTCTTGGGTTGAGCTTTCTGAGACAGAGAGACCACATGTATCAAATGAAAGAGTTTAATCGATCCTGAGAAGAGGGTCCATTGAATGTACATGTGACCCTCACACCAATGCAAAGAATCTGATAAGCAAAGGGGGGGAGGGGGTGTGTGGTTCAACAGATTAGGACACTGTGTTTAACAGCTGTTTGTGATTGTTGTCATTAGTCCGCGTTTCCGTTCGTTTCCCGAGTCCGGTCATTAACGTTACGTGTGTCTTGGAGTGTGTTACCCTCGCAATAAAGCCCTTTTGTTTATATTCACGGCTTCCGTCGCCTGCTTCCCTGTGGATCGTGACAATGGGGACACTGTGCTGTAAAACTCTGCAATATAAATTCTGTCTATGAATGAATCAAACGCCACCATTGTGTCAGTCTGAACCCTGTAAAACATACTGGGTACATTTATTAGAAATATTCTCTTAATAGGGAAATATTCTCTCAAACTGTATAATGGTAGATAACTGTATTGCAATACCATCTAAACAGCATCTAAAAACTAGCACTAACACTACCAGTAATTGCCTTCTTAAATGTTTACTTTTCATCAATAGACTGTAGAGTAGGTGAGATGAACTGGGAAAGCAGGCAGTGGGCCAAACCACTGTAAGGAAGGGGAGGGGTAACTCAACTGTTTCTAAAAACACTCAACGAGACACCAGAAACAGAACAGAGACACAGAACAGGAACAAGGACCAACAAAAGGACAGGACCTGACAGAGAACAGGAAACGCAGACAGACAGACAAAGAAAGGAGACACAGAGGGAACAGTCACAGGCGACACGAAGGGGCCAGGAGCGAACGAAGGAGAAACAGGAGGACGAGGAGCAGACACAGGGGGCACAAAGGCAAAGGGCGGGGGGAAACAGGGAGCCCGAAGGAGCCCAGGCGGGCGAAGGGCAGCGGCCGGAGGGGCCACAGGCGAGGGGAAGAAGGGAGCAGGAGGGAACCACACAGGGGCCGAGGGAACGGGACGAGGGAGAGATGGAGGGGATACGGAGGGAGCAGGAGGGAACACC